CCCCCCCCCCTCCCCTCCAGCCCTGCCCAGACCCAACCCAGCTGCTCCCTGGCCAAAAACAGTCCTGAGCCCTGGCTGGGGACCAAGGGCCAGAGAAGAGACAGCAGGTGCCAGCAGCCTAGGACTGAGCTCTGGGCTAATGCGGATCCATCTCCTGACATAAAAATAACCCGGGTCACACATGGGCAGGGAGGGCGGAGTCTCACTGTCAGCAGGGAACCAGATGCTCACACAAGAGGACTTTATGGTGCCAACTTCCTTTACGAAGGGATGTATATTTACACAAGATGAGACCGTGTTGCCTGCTGATGCTGGTGACGGGTGCACAGAGCCATCACTGTCCACAGCGTTCCTTAAGTTTCAAGATGAAACAGAATCTCTAACACGAGCGAATTCACTAGAACCCAGTGCCCTCAATCTCACCAGGCCAGACGGTCACAGGATGAGGTCCGGGAGGCAGGGTGTGCATCTCACGCTGGCCGGCTGCCTGCCTCGGTGTCCATACCTGCCAGGTAGCAGTGCCTGGGACACCCCAGACTCAGGGCTGGCTGCTGCCATGTCTATCGGTTGAACCCGCCGCCCTGAGAACCAGGAGGGCACGGACTCCTGGGCAGCATGAGGCAGAGTACACAGGCACCAGGAGCCCCATGGCTGCAGGCTGGCCCTCTCTGGGATTCTCTGAGCCCACACCCCCAGATAAGCGTGGTGGAGTGGCTCCTGGTGACTGCTGGGATGGGAGATAGACCCGAGCCCTGGGCTGTGCAGATAGCCAGGGCAAGTCAGCCTGGCCGAGACCAAGCTGCAGACACTTCTCGTCCCTGTCGGCCTGCCATCCGTGCCAGCAGGACAGAGGTCACCCGCAGGGGCTGCGTGCTGAGGAACCCCTGCCTGGCACGGGCAGGATTATGAGCCACAGAAGCATCCTCATTTCCTGGGTGTGACAGACAGCGGGGCACACACTGGACAGAAGAAAAGTCTGCACCACCCAGCCCCAGGCCTCTGAGGGACACCAGGCTTCCCTGGTCCAGACCCAGCCACCAGCACAGACAGGAGGGGTGGGAAAGTGGCCAGTCCACCGCACCTCAGTCATGTCGACTGTCTCACCATGCACGCAGGCCCCTGGGGAGGCAACTAGGCCTGTCTGTTCCCACCCAGCTCAGAGCTGGGAGGTCCGGGGAGGCTGCCCGCTCTGGGCATTTAGCGGGAGGACCCCACCACCAACCTCACTGAACACTGTGCCAGGCCCAGGAACATGGCTACAGATGGCCCGGCCCTATGCGAAGTACCATCCTCTCCCACTAAGACTGTCCCGGCAACTGTCCCAGAGGCCCCTGGCAGGACAGAATGGAGAATCAAGCCTTGGGCTCTGCCTCTGAATGAGGGAGGAGTCGTGGTGGATGGGAGGCCATGACCTTCCGTCCCTTTCTGACCCTTTTGACCTGACAGGAGATGCTTCTCTGTCCCAGGCCTTCCTCAAGAAGCTTCAACCAAGAGGCGTTTTCTGCACACACGCTCAGAGTCTCTCAATGAATGGACCACTGGGGCAGAGATGGCCCGAGGCCTGAATGTGACAGCCACATAGGTGGCCCGGCTGTGGGAAACATGCCAGGCCAGTGAGGCTTGCTTCATCCAGAAGCGCCAGCAGCAGACAGGACAAGGAAGTGGCGGGCAGGCTTCATTGGTTCCAGGAAGCTTGGCCAGCCTGGTCCCCGGGGCCCATCTGGCACACAGCTGGCAGGGGGCCGGGAGCAGCAGTTGACCACTGCAACCGTAGCTGGCCTGAGACATGCCCAGCTGCCCGGCACCTGTCACAGGTGACACTCAGCACTGGACCCCAGAGCCCCGCCTGCAGCAGGCCCAGGGCCCGGACATCCTCAGCCGCATTTGTCCAGCACCCAACGGACCCCGAACCGAGTGGGTGCCCAATGATATGGGGCTTATTAAACTCCAGGAAGGCAGGTGTTCAGATGGACCACCTGAACACCTCTCCTCTCCTCTCTCCTAGCTTCCTTTTGTAACCAGGACAGAGCAAGGGCAGTGCTGGGTAACAGCAACAGCCCAGTGACCGGGCGTATTCACACCCTGAAACCCAGAACCCAGGAAGCAAGAGACCCTCTTTAAGGCCAACACCCAGGCTCTGCAGAGTGTGTGGCCCCAGCTGTGACCCTGGCAGACCTAGAGTCCCTGCCCTAACAGATGTGACCCTGATGCCGGGTCTCGTCACCTCCTCCCTTGGGCTGACTCACTGATTTTCTCTGGAAAGACATCACTAATCGGCTGATGTCACATCTCCAGATTTCCTGTAACTAGCTGCCAGCACAGGTTTCTGCACTTTTTTCCATTTTTAACATTTCTACCCAAATCTGAGTCATGTTCGACCACACGCTGTTCTGACTGGCATGGGGTGAAGGGGTCAGCACTGTCTAAAACAGGGCTGACAAACTATTTCAAAACAGGTCAGAAAGAGGCAGATTTAGCAAACTCAAAATTCTGCCGACACCCCAAGTCTGGAGTAAGCGGGAAAGCCTTCCAGGGGTCCTGGACCAGTTGTGAGACCGCCCCAAGCCCTGAGGCTCTGATACCAGGCCACAGGTTCACAAATGCTTCGTGATCTTGGGCAAGTTACCTAACAGAGCTGAGCCTCCCTCTCCTCCTCCAATAAAAAGGAACACTGGGCTTGTTTTATGGTGACATGTGACATGCCAGTTTTACGGTTCCCTATAAACCACATATAATGCATCTGACTGGTCTGCAGGGTGGTATCTTCTAGGGCAGATGAAGTTGTGCACAAGAGTGATAAGGTGCGTCCGTCACTAAATGCAGAGTCTGGTGC